ATTCCGCGGCGTCCTGACCATTTGGGTCTGGAGCTCGGAGCACCCGGCTCCGTTATGATTTTAACTTCCTAGTTCCCGATTCCTTGTCCCCGTTCTTGTTTTTGTTTGGATAGATCTCCCGGCTATGAACTTTTGGACGGCTTCCTGGTTTCCCCTTTTCGGATTGTTTTGGACTGCGCCACGCCTCCCCCGAGCACCGGAACACTGCTGTCACGCCTCCCTGTCAGTCATCCCGACCTGATCCTGTCGTGTTTTTCTGTTGCCCTTCTCCAGTCTTTTCCGGATTTCACCGTCTGCATAGTGTCCGAAATACGCACTACACGGGAGTCAGGACCGGCTCCCATTACAGTGCAAGAGTTTTCTTCTTCTTCTATTATAATTCTTTTTTAGTCGTTTATTCACATTGACATAGTTCCTGACAATATTAGTAAGTGCTAGATACATTTCCCATAAATTCATATTCCTATTTTTCATTAATTATTCATTACTTTTAGGGAAATTTTGCTTACGGTTAATGAAGGATTTTTAAACATTTTATAAATGCTATATTAAACAATACTTTACTGCCGATATCCAACTCTTAATGAACTGACCTGTTTAATTTGTGATGTACAATGATGTGGTTCTTCCATGATAAACTACTTGTCTGTAGACTGAAAATAAAAAATGTTTTCTAGTAATTTAATGGAAAAACAGGGAGATGATTCTTCATTTAATATGAAATGAAAGTAAAGAAATACAGCAATACATGGTTTGAAGTCTTAAAGGCCTTCAGAACTCTCTTTGGAAAAAAACCCAAAGTAATATGATCACTAAGGGAAGTAAATGTGTGTTTTAAGTCACACTACGCAGGAGCTACACAGGGATGTCTGAGAGAATAATCCTGATTTCTTAAGTTGTAATGATCAGGATAATGACAACTACATGCATACACTATGTTAGGAAGTTCAGATAATTGTTTTTTGAGGGAATATACAAAAACTGTAGTATGCTCAAATGTGTAGTGTCACATAATGTAAAGCTATACCTTACAAACAAACAGCACATCAACATTGATCCCTTATTCAAGCAACATTTTCACACAAAAAAACCCAACAAAATATGTATTTTTTATTTTCTGGCAGTTTGCCACAGAAACACATTGTTTTACAGGGCAGATGATGACTGACAACACACAAGTTAGCTTTAAACAGTTTATCTTGTCTTTACAAATATCACTTACATAAACAGGGACTGAATCACTGCAGATTAACCAGCCTTTGCAAAAATATAATATAACTGTGCCAAAAAAGTAAATTAACACAATATAACACTGTCAGTGGATAACAACATCTTCAAATGAGTATACTGTAGTAAGTAGGCTACTAAAAAGGCAGTGCCAGTAACATGATAAAGGGTTTGTAACCCTTTAAAGTTTGATGATATTGTTTTAAATATTACGTTTTAATAGTTTTAGTCTGATTATCCCAGATTTCCAAATTCTCAGAGATGCCCTATTTAAACTGAAATCAAATCAATGTTTTAAAGCTACATTTTATCCATGGGGGCAGGAATGTAAGAGTTTGTAGTCTATTTTGAAGAAACTGAGAATCTTATTTCTTCATTCCCTGATTGTTGAGGAGTGAAATTATGAGAGCTGTGGAATAAATTTTGTAAATAAATCACATATTTAATAAAAACATCACATATTTAGGAGCCAACCAAAATATTGTAATTCCAGTCATCTTTAGACTTTCCAGTCGTGTTTGAAAGGCTGGAAGGTTGTGTTAGTATGGATATTTGGTCTTGCATGTGGTTTTATAGCAGAAAAAAGGATTCATATGATCGACACCCACACTCAATTTTGAGCACAAAGCGGTGAGGCCTCAGACAGTGCTGGAAGGGCAGGTGAGTTAAGCAATCAGAGAGTTCCCTTCACCACAGCCTCTGATTAACCCACCAGCCTGTCTCTGGGAGATGGAAGAACCTCCAAACAGAAATGTGCCCCAGACCAGAATCAACTTGAGGACTCTGCAGCTGAGAGGCAGTGACATTATTCACCACACCAATAACATGAATGTAGAATTAAAATGCTTTGGTTTTCCCCAAATGTGTTACATTTCAAAAGTTTTCAGCTGTTTTTATAGTGACTGGTTTTGGTCAGGAAATTAAGCTCCAGCCTCTGATTTTGGCACAGATACACTTATTTTATAGTAATTAGTAGGCATGACAGCAAAAGCACTATGTTTGTGAATGCCTTCAAGGAAGGACAGCGTTTAGTCCATATTGTATTAATATTCTTCTTTAAACATAAGTGAAATTCTTCTAAAAAATATAGCTTTACAACAAAAAACTGTATTCAATTTCTGGTCAATTCTAAGATCCTCTGTATTGAGACAGGCTTAATATGGAACTAATTGGGACACTTTTACCACCATGCTAAATTTACAGTAGTTTCCTATTAAAAATAATAAAACATGGAAAATTGAATTGAAGGAATATTTCAGTGTGCAAATTTAAGTTCGAACTGGTAGTTAAACATTTTTTTGTGATTTCATAAAGTACCAGTCCCTGTTAACAATGAAGAAAAGTAAGTAGAGATGACAGCAAAACAGGAGAGCAGGCCTGTTTACTCTTAAGTGCACAGACACAGTCCAGACCTGGAAGTATGGATTTTTGATGAACATACTCTTGGGATACAATGTACTATATGGAGTAAGGCTTGGAAACACATGCACAGTAAATGACTAAAGCAAAATGTAAGCCTCTTTTGAGGCTGGCCATTGTGGATGTTCCTCTGTGAAAATATGCCTACACAATCCTCAATAGCTGAATGTACTGTAGGCTTTAGAGTATAACCAGTGGTGAGCTTTGTCTTGCTTCCTTTTGTATGCTTTTCTTATACAACAAATGTTCTGTTTTTTGAAACTCTTATTTTTTTAACCTAAAATCTGTTTCCCAGATTTTAATTGAATGAATCAATTCAGTTCTCCAGTTTGGATATTTTAGTTTGATATGCCTGTATTCATGAAGAGTAATGTGAATGAAATATGAATGTTTATAAAGGAGTCAGGTGTGAGACGTTTTGGCTTATCCCACTTGAATGTGAATGTGGACTATACAGTATAACCAACAATGAGTTTTGTCTCCGCTGGTTGTGACCTGTAAGGCAATATGGCTGGGACCCCCATACAGAGTGAAGAGTTAACCAAGGAGCAGCTGCAAATCTGGAGATGGACTGGATGAGAGATATATAAGAATATAAGGAAGAGAAAGGGGGTTATTATATCATTTATACATTTTTGGAAAAACATGTCATGGATGATTAGGAATTAGGAGTACAGTAGCAGAGGTAAAGGAGAACTTGGTTTCTGTCAGCCTTTCTGAACATTTGTTAAAAAAGCCATTTATGATGAAGTATTGATGGTCTCACTGGCTCTCTTCCATTCTCTCCATACTGGAGACAGCACAATGTAACTGAGGATCAGTGCTAATTATGGCCTTGAATCCGGCCAGCCTTACAATTGATCATCGTGGAAAATGCTGGAAAGATTGAAAAGGGCTGACACTACACCAAATAATCCTTTACTGGCAAAAGGATCTAATACATTCCAGTTTTGTTTGTGCTGCAAATTGAATCTGTCTACCTCAAGTGGATAACATTAATTAATTAAAAAGCCAAACTATCAAACAATTCAGGACCGATTAATTTATTTTTGCTTCTTGCATGTTAATTAATTCATTGATTCATTACTAGAAATCTCTTGGCATTTGTTAATGTAAAGGGTGTTAAGTAAACCTCTGAGCCAGCAAAGCTATTGTTTTTTAAGGGTTTTGCAAGGTTTTGATATTAAATATCAAGAGAGCATAAAAATAAAACATTTATCGACCGCTGTTTCACAGTAAGCTATATAGCGTGGATTTCAAAAACACAGAGCTACAGCAGTTACTTTGAGCATGTTAATGGCACATTTGAAAATAATGTAATATACTACAGGTCCGTTTCCTGAGCCTATCATTTCCATAAATACACATACTGTATTGCTCTGCATTAGTACAACCAACGAGGGGGCAGACAGGCCCAGAACCCAGGGTAATTATACAGTATTAAACGAATGTAAATGGAAAAACCTGAAGCAAAGCTTTCCACTGTAAAAAAACACTCCACAATACAAGCAAGGAGAACGATCTGAAAGACTTCAGAGAGTAAACATGTAGCATCTTTCCACAGGGCAGGCTGAGCTGATAAAGAAGACTATTTTTTTTTTACATACTGTAGAGTAATAAGACTAAAATTAATTCAGACAGCTGCACTGGTATCATTTGAGAAAGCCACAGTTTAGAACAGCCAGGCATCATGGGAAATATTCAGCTCTTAGTCCACAGCATGTCTTCCTGTGGCCACAAGGGCCAGAGGTGGTCAAAGCAGTGATTTCTCCTACTTCAGAAGCATCCCAAATTGCAGCAGGGTTCTAAGCACAGAGATGCATTTTCCTAATCAGGGCAAGTGTGAGTGAAGCAATTAGGCCATAAAATCAACATATTGTACTGGACACCAGGGAATCAAAACACATCCCGTAAAAACAGCAAAAAAAAGTAGTTTTAGCAAGAAGAACAGGGCATAAATTGAGATACAACACTGATGTAAAGTTTTTGCCTTGAAAAGTATCAGCTCCACATTTAGTACAGTACTTTACTTTTCAACCCCCTCTCCCCTTTTGGTAAACATATGAATCGTAAAATATAAAGTATATTTTTTCAATTAAAATCAAACCTTATGACAAAAAAAGGTCAATCAAACGTTATGACAAAAGGTACAAATCCTTTATGTGAAGTATTTTAAAGAAATGTTCTTATTTTCTTAAGGATGACATAGATATCAGGATAACAGAGCACTATGAAATACAGAATAGAACTTCACCATTTGACCTCCTTATTGATATCAGCTGAAACTGCAGAAGCAGAGCTCAGTCACATGTAATGGGAGAGTTGGTCCACCAGTGGGTAAATGTAAAATAGGACTCCAAAAGTCAAAAAGGAGATATCGTCTTTCACACAGTAGGTGCACCTTTCCTGAATTATTCACTGCAGACTTCAACAAGAAATCACTATAAAAATATGTTCATTAATAAATACATTAAAGGCACAAATTTCCAAATACAATTGATATTTCTTTTATGTTTCATTGACAGCAAAAGCGTATTTCACAAGACAAGGGAGGGGTTTTCTGATAGATATGCCTAGAGGACCCACAGCCAGGACCCTGGAAAAAAAAAGAAAATATTTCAGTCAGAATAATCAACAAACATCGGTTCAGTTCAGTTTATTTGTCACATGCACAAGGGAAATGAAATGCTTATTTACAAGTACACTCCGATACAAAGACATTACGGGCTTGCCAAACCAAAACAGCAAAATATTCCGTTATTTAAAATCAGTAAGTACTGTATGTTCTGTGTGATGAAAGCCTGTTTCTGGCACTTTCTGTGGATGTCAGACCCCAGAATGTGGGTTTCCTGTTAAGCTGGTAAGCTTCTGTGGTTCTGCTGAAGTCTATAAAGGGGCTCAGTACTATACTTGACATGTCCTGTGTTTGGCCAGAACACAGCAGGGTCATGATGTCAGGTGCCAGGTGGAGGAAGAAATCATGCCGCCCGTGACTACTGATTTCAGCTGCAGAATGTTTCATTCCCTGATACATCACCATGTGGCCAGTCTGCGGTTACATACTGTACATATCTAAAGAATTGGCACAAGCTGTGAAATGGTAAATATCAAGTGAAAAGAACTGCATTGTCATGGAGTTTACAGCGAAAGTTCGGGAGGGATGACAACAACCAAGCTAAATCAGACTCAGCTGTCAGGAATTAGCAATCTCTCCTGACATCCATTCCTCACCCAAAACTCTATAAATACCTATGAGATCCCTATCTCTCTCTCGTGCATGTCTCTTGCATCCCACCTCCACCCCATCTCCACCTCTGCACCTGCCCCTTGGTCACCCTGTATGAGGGTCCTGGCCTCCTTGTCCTCAGCCAAGTAGGTTAAGCCAAAACTTTACTCCATAATCCTTCCTTGACGCTTCAATCTTTGGTGTCATCATTCCTAGTGAACTCCTCATTGTCCTATCAGCTACAGTATTGTGTCATAAGGGCATCAACAGTCTTTGGGCATCTTTCCTTTCAGTTTGTGGAAGATAACTAACTGTACTAGAGTATTCGTCAGCATACAATACTTTAAAATGATGCGGCTTTGCATTAGAAGGTACTGCTTAATGACAATTATAACTAATAGGTTTTATAATTAACATCATTGTACAATATGTAATAGGTTTATTTCATTCTGAAAAGAGAAGAAAGAAAACACAACGTTTCGGCTGTGGAGCCAATATACTGTACTCTATTGATGAAGATTTGAAGTCTAACATCATAGATGATAAAAATCTTACTAGTACTGGTACTACCTTCTCTTTTCTTCTATGATTCAGTGGGATTGTTTTATGCTTGTTTGCTGCAAGTGAGCCTCTTTGCCAAGTAAGCATTGTAAATGAAACTGTATTCTCAACTAATGTACAGTATCTGGATCAAGTAAGGATTTTTGACTGACATACAGATCTGCTTATCGAAGAATTCCATAATTCACTTCTGCTGCTTTTAAAGCAGTGCACATTTGTTTTGGCTGTGTTTTTTTGTATTTACAATAACAAAAAATTCTAAACAGAGAATTGTTTTTCTTCCACCTGACAGACGATTGTTTGGAATATATTTAGCCATTGACTACAGTGAGATGATGAGGTCAGTAATACTGCCAGTGATACACTTTCCAGAATGATCCTACTTGCATTGCAAGCTGATATAAATGCTGAAATGCATAACAAGGTTTCATTTAAAAAGGCTCTCAAACTTTCTGTCTGCTAAGTGCTGAATCAATATTGTATCTCCTTCATGAATGTTGTATATCTCTAATGTCTGCTTGCAAAGACAATTTTCTGCCACTTCATCCTGGTTCTCTTAACAGTACCATTGTGTTAGAAAAATTTCATATACAGTAAGACATTTTAAGAAGTTATCACACAAACAATCATAATCTCCTTAATGACATTTATTAGTACACTGTGAACTAATCTCTACATATTTTGGCTGTGAAATCCAGGATCACATAATAAATTAGCTCCATATTTTAAATTACTAAATTAAAAAGGTGGCACCACTGCAATTTAATATTATGTTATTATTTAAGAAAAGGCTGTAGAGCTTTTTAAGGCTCAGCTGTTTCTGAATCCAGCACACTGCCAACTACTGGTGAATCAGATACAGCTGTTAGATATTGTACCGCTACAATATTAGATGTCATGAAAGGTTACACAGTAACATATAATTAGAATATACTGTGCACGTGCAAAGGTGATAGAACATTTCTACTGCAGTGATATACAGTAGGAAAAGGTGTTTCTGAGGAATTCACAAGATCTTTGGTTTATGTTTAGGGAGACATTATCCAAGACAACAGAAAATTAGTGTTCTGTTTTTCCTCCCATGTATTTATTTTAGCTTTGTTTTTTTAAAGGTAAACTCACTCAAAGCATTAAACTATTTTCAACCCCATAGTATCTATGAATCCCAACTCAATTCATTTAAAGATACTTTATACTTAGTGATGTTCTGTATTGTTCACAGCACAAGCCCAGCCCAGCACATTAGAGATCTCAATGGTGGCCAACCACCGTCAGAGATGTAGAAATATCAAGATATGAGTCAAATTCCTTCCACACTTTTTCCCAAGTATGTTGAGTTCATTTACACGAGAAAAGGAGTATAGTTATTACTTTTTACACCATTCTCACAATTACTGTATGTAGAATTGACAGTTTTCTTATATAGGGTGCACAGTAGCATTTTTCTTTCAGCCAATCAGCCTGCTTGTTAGATTCACTACACTCCCTATCTTCCAAGCACCTTGCAGTCTCACACCTGAAATAAAACACGTGGACACTCCCTCGAAGGAAACATGAAAAGGGCCAGTGAGCACTTTTCATGTGGCTTGAGAAACCTTAAAATGTTTTTAAAAAAAAAACCCACGGACTGCAGTCACCTGTAGAAGAAAGCATGATTGACTTGCCACTGCAGTACTGACTGTAGATCCTATCACAACCTGTAGCATAAACCAAAGGGGGATGGTTTAGTGCAACAACAAATAGTGTTTCAACATTGACACTGTAGAACCAGACCTGATGGGTTTTTTTATGTTTTTGAGTTTCCAATTTGGTGTTTTTTTCCAATCACTTTTTCCTTTTTCCCTCATCTCTTTTGGATGAGGCCAGCTTAATATTAAATGACCTTGGGCTCATTCCTGACCCTCAAGCTGTGAACTGTACAGTATGTGACATTTCAGGAATAACTGAAGAACGGGGAAAACCTTATTAGAAATAAAAATATTTTGTATGGTTCTAATGCATATGCAATGACCGCTTCTAACTGTGTGTTCAGAGCAATAACTGAGTGTGACCAGACACAATGTGAAATATTTTAATTGAGGAGGTAACATTGTGATGGTGCATAAATAGTTCCTACTGTTCCCCTACTACTAGTTCCACCTGCTACCAAGAGATACAGAATCAGTGCCTTTGTAGGTTTTAATCTAATGCTCCAATGTAAAGAGTGAAATACATCAGGACTTTCCATGGTTTAAAAGTTTTCAGAAGCACACACTGTTCATTACCTCTGTGCAAATAATGTTGGCAATATTAATATCAGCATTCTGACAGCTCCACCATTGCCAGACACTGGCTGGATCCATTTAGGCTTTCCTGGCCATCGAATGTGCTGAGTAAGTGACAGTTTGTTTTATAAAGTGAGCTTACTCTTCTCTGGGAATCTGCAGCAGTCATCATTACCGAGTCTGAAACAATGCCCCCTCTCATACTTGACACAGATTCTCCCTTACTCTCATTTTAAAAGTGACTGAAGACAGAGGCAGCAAAAATGCTTTTTATACCAGTCCCGCAGAATAAGGGCCAGTCTAACTCACTAAAACAGCTTTCGTGCTCACATTCAAGCCAACAGGTGAACTTTGCCAAATTTGATTATTTTTTCCAATCACTTTTGCCTCTTTTTTTTTCCTTCATCCCTTTTGGATGAGGTCAGCTTAATAATTAATAATCTTGTACTTGCAGTGAATTAATAATAAATTGATACCATATTCAAAAAGGCGGTTGTTCCTTGTTTAATAAAATATTCACACTGATGTATCTTTCTTGTATGTAACAGGCTTGCAGGGCTGAATGAGTGAAAGGCAATTCAAAGGCTTATTTTTAAGATCAGCATGGACTACCTACTGAAATAATGATGACATAAATATTAAATGTATTGATGATAATAAATACTAATGTAAGACAGGCTTGCAGGTCTGTTGCTGAGGGTTTTAAAGGAGATTCCAGGATTATGTACAATTCGTTACAATATGTGCTTGTGGAAAACCTAGAAATCTAATGAATGATTTAATTTGTTTTAACTGGACTGTGACAACGTAAGCCATTCACAATGTTTTAAATGCAATGCAATGCACTATTCTGGGAAGACACAATCATGGTGTTATTAGGAGAACCCTGTGATTTATGCAGCATTTGTTTTGTATTCAGTTATATGCACTTGTACATGAACTGCTTCTTGTAATATATGCAAAATACAGAGATGCAGAATTAAGGTGCTAATGCACATGAAGACTTTGACAGACATGCAGAAGAAAAATGTTTTCTGTTTTCTGACCCATCCTTTCCTGACATTTGGTTGCTGTTGTTAGTGACTCACCTAACATCTGTACCAGCAAATCTTAAGTCTTAAAGCTTCTCTGATTATTGCATCCATCTGTGACACTAAGAATAATTTGTACCCAAACATTTCAGAAAAATCAGTTAGATATCCAAAAAAAAAATACTTGTTATACTATACTTTAAATAGTTAATATTTATGTATTATTATGATCTGTCGCAAGTTATCTACAGAGCATCAAAAGAAACCAATCACCTATAACTGCTGCACATTCAAAAGTTTTCGGTTAAATGACAAAACTTTGCACGAATATTGTCTTGAACACGCATAACATTGGTTAATTAATTATGTGAATTAACATTTATCATCACCAGGGTTGGTCAGCAGAGGGTCCTGTGTCAAAGTCACAGCCAAGTAATGTGTTGCCTCTTTGGAAGTGGTACTGTACTGTATATGAGGCACACTGCCACATTCCTCTCATACAGCCTGGATAAGC